TGTCATTTGTGGATTTATGCTCTTGTGTTACCTGTGGCTCATGTTTGTGAGAAGAGGCCAGCAAGGTGAGATATTTGAGACCCCTGGGCTGGAATCTGGTTATGAGATCTCCTTTAGAGGTCTCAGAATCCTTACAACATAAAGGGAGAAAATTGGAGTAAAATGTTCTGCAAGGCTTAGATTAATGTTCTCTCCATGACTCTTGTCTATAACTGTGGAAGTTGTCAGGGACTGGAACTTTGTGAGCATGGTTCATTGAACTGCTCAGCCTAACAGAGACAAATTTAAGAATATGCTTTTAGAAAACTGATTATGTGAGTGTCATCAATGATTTGTACATCTAACTCAGTAGCATGCCTCTGACCAGGCCATGATCAAAGAAAAATGCATTAGTCACTTATTGCTGCACAAAAGATTACCACAAACTTAGCAGCTTAACCCAAAACACATATATTATATTGTAGCTTCTGTGTGGATCTAGAATCCAGGTGTAACTTAACTGGATCCTCTGCTTTAGGGTATGTCCTGTGGATATGATCTTGGTGTTAGCAGCCAGGACTAGAGTTTTCTCTGAAAGAATGACTAGGGAAGGATTCACTTGCAAGCTCATTTGTTTGTTGGAGGCATTTCAGTTCAAGACCTGTTGGACTGAGGGCTTGTGTTCCCAGCTAACTGTTGGGAACAGACCACCCATAAGTCCCTGCCAAGTTAGTCCCAATATGGCAACTTACTTCATCAAAATCAGTAAGGGATAGAGAATTAGCTAGGTAGAAGTCACAATCCTATGCACCCTAAGGGTGGAGGTGACTCCTATCACCTTCTATTAGTTAGGAGTATGCCAGAAGGCAGCCCACACTCAAGTGGAAGGATTTATGCAGGGCATGAATGCTGCAGGTGGAGTCATTTGGGCCATCTTAGAGTTTGCTCCAAAGACTTTTTTTTCATGGAAAAAAGTTAAATCTTGAGCTTTCTGTGTTCTCCCCTGCTCTTCACTCCACTCTGCTGCATGATCCTCTGTTGCTTACCGTCCTCTGTGATGCTGCACTTATATGCTCAGTCTCTTGGCTCAGGCATGCCCACTTATGCACCCCCACACCACACTCCATGTGTCTACCATCAGGCATGTGTGCCTTGAGCCCATGCTCCCAAGTGCCTCCTACATTCAAGGCCACACGTGATAGCCACAAGGCCAGTGGCACAAAAGTCTGAGCAATCTTCATTTATCCTATATAGGGGCAAGACCAAATTGCACTTCACACATCAATTAAAGTGATCATTACTTCTAAAATAGTATTCTGATTGCCAAAACTGACTCTTTCCCTGTGCTGAGTACTGACTTCAGTTGTCTGTCTGTTGTTTGTTTCTTGGATAGAAACAGTTACATTACAAAACAGTGTAGGCTGTCTTATCACACTATTCCCTGTATTGAAAAGCTAAGCATGCAGCTGAATTTCACACAAAGCAAGAACAATGAGTCCTCATTTTGCTGACTGGTTAGAAAGGTTGTTAGTTTTTAATACTCTCCCACTATTTCACATGTCTTGATCCAGCAATTTAAAGCTTAAGAGCCTCAGTTGGCTATACCTGTTAAAAGAGCTATTCAGAAACACTCTGGATGTTTTCTTTGCCCTATTTTTAGAATGGAGGGCCTAATTATATCTTAATACCTCTAAATATTCCCAGATCCAATCTTGAGGAAAAAAGTCTTATCTTTTGAAATTTCGCAACATTATTAGGATTATCACTGCTCCTCTGAGAAACTTTATGAGAATGAATTTTGATTTAAAGAATGTTAGTGGTACAAGAACCATGAAAAATCAAAGACTCTTCTAAAAACCCTTCTCCTTTTCAAGGAGGTGACTGAATCTTGGTGGGAATGACTGTTGGATGGAGATCAGGCAGGAGTAGCCAGTGAAAGCTGTAGGGTGGATGTATGCTGTCCTGCAGGAGGTCAGTTTCTGAGTTAAAGACTCAGTTTTATAACATGCAAACAGTGTGCTGGGCCCCTTTGTGAATCTTCATTACCGTTACCATAGAAGATTCTGAGAAAAGACGTAGAGTGATTAAAAAAAAAAAAAAAGTTGGTTCAGAGTGAGGAACCACTTGTGAGAGTTAGACCCTGAGTATTAGTCAACTTCACCATGATTTTCCCAACTGTCAGTGTTGGATGATTTCTTTTCTCCTATGAATGGTGCCTGGAATTTCATCAGTTAGAGATTTCTTTGTTGCAGCAAGTAATCTTCTAATGGTGTAAAAACCTCTGGGAGCATTGAGTGTCTGTCTATGATTATGAATTACTTTGTGTTATTTTCATCCTTTTTTTTGGGGGGGGAAGGCCTAATTGAGATCAATTCACTTAGAGAACATAGTAATGATTATAGGAAGGGAGGAAAGTTTAAGAAAAAGTAATGCTCTGTGGAGGGGATTGTCTGGTTCAGGTGCTGGGGAGGGGGTTTCTAGGGTGGTATCAGGACACGGGGAACCTAGGTCAGTGCCTGGGAGGCAAAGGAAGAATCCCAAAGCCAAGCCTAGCTTGTTTTGTAGCTTTACTATGGGGCTATCATATACCTGAAAAAGAAAGCAGAAATGCCTCTATATTTTCCCAGCATTTCTCAGCCCCTTTCAAGAAAAAACTTATTCATTGCTGGTTAACTAGGCATTTGTATGATGGAAGGACAACCCAATCATGGTGTACATGTTTGATCCACCAGGAAATTCTTATCAAATTTTGAACTAATCTTACTTGTGTTTTTGGAAGATTCATTCCTGAAGTAAGGGCTCACATATAATAGAGTGGTTTTAAAAAGTGAGTACTTAGATTAACCTCCCCAGGTTCAAATAGTGCCTCTCATACTACCTCAGCGATCTTGGACAAATCTATTATTTTTCCTCTACCTCAGTTTCCTTGTTTATATATTAGGGGTGGTAGTAATAGCATCTCTCACTTAGGGCTGTCCTAAGAAGTAAGTGAGACAGTACTTGTGTAGCACTTAAAGTCCAACAAAGTGATAGCAATTGTGTAGGAATTCTATGTTCTCCACATTCCTCAGCCAGTTTTATCTGAGAAAATATGGTGTCTACCTTCTCTGGAATGAGATTTACCCCAGGAAATCTTAAAAAATATCATATGGAGTAATACTTTTTTAGTCCTATATATATCTAATATGTTTCCTTACCTATAGTCAAGGTATTGTCTTTATATTGATATACTTTCCTGGACCAATTCATATCTTATGCCCCCAAACGAAGACTTTCAAATGCAAAACCTCACTCCATTTCTTTACTAACAAATTGAGTTAAATATTAAAGTAATTAGATGATTATATGTATGTCAGGATTCTAAAAGATACTCAGTTTTAAGGTGAGTTTCTGAAAGGACAGTCAAAAGCATTTATGTCTGAACATAATTATTTTTATATAACAAGGTCTCTTTCTTTCTCAAGATTCTTTTGCAGACTATCAGTTCCATATTTTTAATTTTATTTTAAAAGATTCATTTATACAAGAATCAGGGTACAGGCCAGATGTGCAGGAGGGTGAGAGGATTCACCAGAGACAGAGCGGGGAATAGAACAGGCAGACTGACTGAAATACACTGCTGAGGGGAGCAGCAGGCAAGACAGGAGAGGTCTGCTGCGCCATGTGGGATTCTCGCTGGCTGGCCAGGATCGAACCCACGCTGCAGAGGCTGTGGACAGCTTCACAGTGTGGCGCTCAACCACCTGCGCCACCAGGGAGGCCCCTATCAATTCCATTTTAACTCAGCGGAACACATCACATTATTTCTGCAGCCTGTAGAAGTATGAATAGGAAATTATAAATGTACTGTCTATTCTTACATAAAGACCTAATAATTAGGCTTTTGGTTTTAAAAGCCTAATTATTAGGTCTTTATGTAAGAATAGACAGTATTGTAGGATAGAGCCTGGACTAGAAATTAAAACATCTGGATTCTCTTCCAACTTCTGCCATAGGAAGTTTTGTGACCTCAAGCTCATTCTAAAATCTCCCTGGGCTTATCTCAAATGAAGAATTTGAATGAGGTATTGCTTAAGGTCTTTTATAGATCTAATTTTATGTGATTCTGCATTATCTTATTGTCCTCTGCTTTGTGAAGTGTGTGCTTTGCTTTGACTGACTGTATATTTTTCTTTCCCAGTATCCTTAAAAACATTTGAAATGCTTTTGCCAAATGACCAGTGAAGATAAGAGCTGCAGTCTATAGATGCAAAGTAAAAATAGCTGCCTAGGTCTGCAAGGGTACAAGCCCATGCCCTTGGCATTGTGGCATTCTAGGCCCCAAATACAGAGCTCTGGCTTTAAGCAGAATTTGATTGCAGGTCAGATGAATAGAGACAAGTTCAGGCAGCATCATTACTTTTCACATTAATAAGCAGTTGCTAGCATATTTCTACTTTGCAGCAGATAAAATTGAAATCTTAGCTCAAACAACTGCTTAAAAATGGCAGAGAAATGAATTGTTTGTAATGGTAGATAAATAATTAAGGCTTCATTTATCTATTGATATTTCTTTTGCAGAGAGGAAGGGAGGGTATGTTACAGCACATTTTTCTTTCTGCTTCTCAGAGATACTTTTAATTTCTCAAGGGAAAGATTAAAAAAACTTTGTGCCCTACTTCTGCCTTTCCAATTTGGGGTCTTATCAGTTCCATGTTAATATACTCCTTTTGATATTAAGTAGGGCCCTTTTTTGGTTGACAGGTTTACTTTAGCACAGGAAATCTAAAAAATTCTTTTGGGATAAATTCTTCTACAAGAGATAATTAGATAATATGTTATGGAGGTAGATTATTTCTTCTAGAATCACAATTGGGTGACTGAAAATCTTTATCATAGGACTCAATGTAGAAATTTAGGTGTTGACTATAGTAAATATAAATTAAGATAATATTGCACACTGATGGCCAACTTTAAATTCATCATTATTTTGAGAAGTAGTTTGTAAAAACATTAATTTTCACCTTTCTCTTTTCTTCTAGTCATGGACTCCTGCCTTGTAGGTCCTTCTGTGAGGCTGCGAAAGAGGGCTGTGAGTCAGTCCTGGGGGTGGTCAACTCCTCCTGGCCTGATTTCCTCAAATGCTCCCAGTTTAGAAACGAAACTGAAAGCAGCAACATCAGCAGAATTTGCTTTTCACCACAACAGGAAAAAGGAAAGCAACGTAGGTGTCTGTTTTCCATTTCATTTTAATATGTTTTTATTGAAGTACAATGTTCATAGAAGGATGTCTCCTAAAAATGTGTATAATTCAGTAAATTTAGCAAAATATGACCACACTCATGCAACCAGCACCCAGATCAAGAAATAGAATGTTGGCAACATTTCAGGAAACACTACCAGGTCTCCCAGTAATCTCATACTCCCCAAAGAAACCTCTGTACTGACCTCTATGCTGTCAGATAGTTGGGCTTAGCTCTGGACTTCACATCAGTGGAGCTGTAAAGTGTGTGCTCTTTGGTTGATTCATTGTCATTGTATAACATTCTAATATATGGTCATGCACAATATTTTTTATTCTATTCTATTGTTGATGGACATTTGCGTTGTTTCTGATGACAACGAATATAGTGATGCTATGAGTATTCTTGTGCACATCTTTGATTGAACATGGTTGTGCATTTGTTCAGCAAAACATTTTCTGAAGTGGCTGTACCAGTTTATAGCCTACCAGCTAGTTGTGAAAGTGGAGCTGCTCAAAATCCCCCCCAACTCTGGGCATTTTCAAGTGTTTTTCATTTTAGCCATTCTGTTGACAGTGTTGTGATTGATACCTTTTTGTGGTTTTAAGCTGCATCTTGTTGATGAATTTGATGGAATTTTCATTTTTTTTTTTTTTGCTATTTGAGTTTCCCCTTTTGTGAACTGTCCACCGATTTTGTCATTTGAGTAGTAATCTGCCCTTTTGCTATTAGTTTGTGGTTCTTTATGTGTTTTGGATAGAAGTTATCTGTCAGATACATGTATTGCGAAGCTCTCTCCACATTATAACTTGCCTTACAATCTTTTATTATTGTCTATTATGGAATGGAAATTCTTAATTTTAATGGGATCATAATTACCTATATTTTCCTTGGTGATTCACTTTTTGTGTCTTAAAGATACTTTTGTCTACCCCCCAAACATAGATGTTTTACTTTTGTGTTTTCTGCTCAGAGGTTTACAGTTTTAACATTTCCCTTTATATCTGCCATAATTCTGGAATTCATTTTCATGTATGATGACAGGTTTTTTTTCTCTGTATATTCAATTGACCCACACTGTTAACTCATTTTACTTACAGAGCAAACCTCTGAGGTATTATCATCTTCATTTTGTAAACGAGGAAACACAAGTTGGGCTCTAGTCATTCTAAGGTTATTTTAAATTTCTCCCTCCCTCCCCCTCCTAGGGTTTTATCTTCTACCCAGTAGTCCACCATCCTGGGACCATCTTGGGATTCAATTAGTAATCCTTGAACACTACCCTCTGTTACAGCAACCTTCTCAGAAAGAGCTTTCAAAATGTCTTCAGACTGCATTGAGCCTAAACCCTCAAATTGTTACAGCTGCTTTTCCCAATGTACTGTTCTCTAAGTTCAATTCGTCTTCTCTTAGCATCCTTTAAATCAGTCATAACTCTGAGGATATTTGTTCTCATGTGGAAGAATATGCAGTTGTCTTAACCTTTCTATCATATATAAATGAAAGGTTTTCTGGTAAAATAAATAATGTACTAAAGTGAAAATGCTGTGGGAACTGTTCTCCAAGGTTTAAAAATAAGCATTACTGTGTGTTTCCATAGTTGAGTTGTGAGAACTCAGGGGGCTGATGATCAAGACCCATCAATCATATCAGGTTCTCTGGCTAATCCTTTACACAACCTTGTCTGTAATTGTATATGGGAAATAGTTTTTTAATGGTATTTTGGTGGGCCTAAATAGATTGTCCCTGCTATGAAAGAACCTCAGCTCTTTATCCTTTCATTTCCTTGTTCCTTTTCCTAGTATTTTATTTGCTTTATAGTTCTGGTTGCTGGTAGCAACCATTTCAATGCATTAGTGTAATTTAGCGAAATTGGCGTTTCAGGATCTTAGTAAAACACATACTCTGAATTTCTCCTATTGAATTGTGTGTTAATTTGAGAGAAAATGCAATACTATTGGCAATACTATTTTTTTTTTGAGCTACTTAGTACCAATGTTTTGTGTGAGAGGGATTTTTTTATAGATAGCATCAAGGAACTATTAAATAGTCATGTACTTTTCATTATATGAATAGTCTTAAATAAAATGAGGATTTCCTATAATTTCAATTTTTCTTATTTGTTTAATTTCATATTATTTTAAAATTTAAATTACTAAAACATTTTCTTTCTTCTACATGTTGATGCTTCTTTTAAAAGCATCAAACTTAGGCATGAAGACTTACACTTAAGCCCTGACTGTTTTTACTTAATAATTATGGGGTATTGAGTAAGTTTATTAAGCCATTTACACGTCTTATTTTTTTTTTAACTTTACAGCAGGAATAACCATACTTGAATGGTAGAACTGTTTTATGGATTAAATGAGGATATATTTGAAGGGATTTTTGGAACCTATAATGTACTAGTCTATGTAAATGATTTAATTCAATAGACATTGAAGCATAGTCTATGTACCAGGCAGTTCACCAGGAACTGATAAGGGAAAAATGACATACACATTTTGAAAGAACTCACAAACCAATAGAGAGAGAGCTATATAAGCACAGAAGCAGAGCCGAAGACAAGGATTTAAGCCCAAATGGTAAACAGTCATATGTCTTTAACAATGTTACAAGTCAGTAATGAATCACAATTACACATATGGTCTCAGGAGGTTATACCTTTTAGCCTGGTAGACTGTATTAAACCTTTTGGCATGGTAGACTATACTTCTAGATTTGTGTAATTAAACTCTGTGATGTTCACACGATAGTGAAATCACCCAACAACTCATCTTTCAGAATGTATCCCCATTGTTAAATCATGTATAACTATTTAGAAAGTCATGGGACATTGTTGGGGTGAGTGAGGAGATGACTCAGCAAAGGGAAGTATACCAATAAAGGTAAATTATTGAACTAGTTGTAATAGTTGGCAACTGGAACAGAATTTCATGGGAAAATCTGGGAATTTGGCTAGGGAATATGGCTCAGAATTTCTCCACTAAAGGGATGAAGTAGCTGGGGTATGTACTTCCTTCAGCCTTTGAAACTTGTATATGCTATCACCCTAAGTACTACATCCTATTAGAACAGAAACATAGATTTGAAGGAGGAACTACAACACTTATCTGCACCCAGCAATGGAAGGCTGTTGCCCTTATTGATTTCTCCCTCTTCTGCTACACCATCTTAACCTTAACTTCTTTTTTTTTTAAACAATATTTGCTTCCCCCCACCCCCTCAGGTTAACCTTAATTTCTGATATTTCACAGGATCCTAGTCTCAGTTCTCTTTGCTCAACATTATATGCATCTTCTCTGGGGCCTGTCATACTTGCTGGGCCACATAAGTACATAGCACTCTTAATCTATAATTTCATCTTAAATTTTCTATTTTTACCAAGCTTCAGAACCATATTCCACTGCTCTTGCTTCCATGTCTTAAGAAAAGCTACTTTTTAATCAGGTTCTAAGGATTTCCATCCTTATTACTAAATCCCATGGGAAGGTCTCAGTTTTCCTCTGAATTGGTATCTTGCAGTATTTGCCCTCCTCCCTGATAAAATCTCTTTCCTTGGCTTCTAGATAGGTTTTCCTTGTTTGGTTACTCATACTTATCCTCCTTTGATGTTTTCTCCTCATTTTTCTTACCTTTAAACATTGGAGTGCCCATGGCTTACTCCTTGGATCTCTCCTCCTTTGGTGATTTCATTTACACTGGTGGTCTGAAATACTACCATGCGCAGTCAGCTGTAAATGTGTCTCTCACACTTGCATCTTCTCTTAACTCTGGACTTGTGTGCAAATATATGCTAATGACACATGCACATGCGCGCGTACACTCATAAACACATAAGATCTGCTTTCTACTTATTTCCACTTGAGTGTCTGAAAGGCATGTCAAACATAAAATGTACTAAACTGATCTGGGGCCTCCCTGGTGGTGCAAGGGGTTAAGACACAACCTATGAATCTAACCGCAGCCACTGAAGCATGAGTTTGATCCCCAGCCAGGAAGCAATCCACATGGCGCAGCAGACCTCTCCTGACTTGCCCACTGCTCCCCTTTGCAGTGTATTTCAGTCAATCTGCCTGTTCTGTTCCCCACTCTATCTCTGGTGAATCCTCTCAACCCTCAACCCCCCCCCCACACCTCTGGCCTGTACCCCCATTCTTGTGTGCATAAATATATAAATCTTAAAAAAAAACCAATCTGATATTGCCCCCAAATCTGCTCCTTTCCCAATACAGAAGTCTTTGGTATTGGGGAGGGTTGAGGGAATTCATTCCAGGACTGTCTGCAGATACCAAAATCTGAGGTTACTCAGGTGCTTTGTATAGAACAGTGTAGAATTTGCATCTAACCTACCCACATCTTCTAATTCTTTAAATTGTTTTTAGATTACTTACAATACCTAATGAAATGTAAATGCTATATGGATAGTTGTTGCGCTGTGTTGTTTAAGGAATAATGACAAGAAAAAAGTGTCTGTACATGTTCTGTATAGATATAGCTATTATCGCCCTAACTACATAGTATATATTTTTGAACCAAAGTTGGTAAAATTCACAGATGTGGAGCCCAGGATATGGAGGACACATAATTCAACCAGTGCTCACCACTCACAACCACCACCTGGTCCTAGTGCCCTTACTCCTTCCTAGATTGGCTTCTTTGCTGCCGCTGTGTACACATGCAGACTATTCCCCAGGCAGCAGAAGATGTTCTTTTTGGCTACCCAAACACTATTGAGTTTTTAAGCATTCGCATATCTCCTCTCCAGGTTTTCTAAAGATTTCCCATCCCACTCAATATAAAAGCCAACATTTTTGGAACTATCAGGACCCTCCATCAGTACTGCTGCATTGCACAACTGCAGGAAAGCAGCAATCACAAGAATTTGATATAAGTAGCATCTCTTGCAGTTGTGCAACATAATGCTCCTGTCCTACATTATCTGGACCCCAGTACTTCTCTGACTTCTCTCTTAATAGTG